ACAGCACAGATTTTTTTTTTCTTGTTCTCTCTCATCATTTACAAGTAAATGTAGAACAACAGAAGGGGAATAACAGTTAAACTACACAGAGTTATATAGGATTTTCTATCTTCCCCCCAACTTTTATTTTTAAGTATAATATATATACATATATAATTTTAGTCTTTTGGAAATCTCATGATATAAATAGGGCCAGTATTATGTATTATCCTTATTTTTAAGACCAGAACAATGAGTCTCAGATAGGGGAAATGACCTCCATGAGGTCATGCAGTGAGTCAAAGACAGCCCAAGGCATAACACCCAGTTCTGCTCTCACTCAACCCAGAACATTTACCCTCCTGGCTTTAAGCATCCCTTCCCTCTTTCTCCCTTTGGTGGTTCTCTTTTGACCATGATCCCTCACCAACAGTGGAGTTAAGATGGATCCATGTTCAGAGTTGCAGACCTGTTGTTTAAAGGTCCCCCAAAGGGCCTGCTTCCATTGCTTCCCTGCAAAGCCAACGTTTGAACCTGCGATAGAAGTCCCTTCGAGGTATGTACTGGGATTCCTTCCACCAGAGACTGCTGTAATTAGCTCTGCTAACAACTGTGATTGAACACGGTTTGTTGTAGTCATTGTTCACTGACAGGCACAGATAAGAGCCACATCTCAGCAAGTGGTGTTCTAAATGGTGTTCCCTGCTTGGTTAAACTCATGTAAGGCACTTGTCAAGGACACTGTTCCCAAACTGCTAGCAGCAGGCAGTGTCATTGCAACACCTTCCAAAGCCCTCAAAGGAGGCCATAACAGAATACTGTCATGCACTGGGAGAAACAGTTTCTATTTTAACCTTGCCCAGCCTCTGGCTGCCTCTCCTTCTTATGGAAAATGGGTGTGGCCTTGCATGATTTAGAGAAAAAGCAGTCTTTATCTTCCTGTGGTTTCAGATCTTCCTCACAAGAATACTTGTAAGTGAAAGTTGTAACATGTGGTACATCCACCCTATGCTTTTCAGACATGGTGCTCTTATTAGAAGCAAAACAAAATGCTGCTTATGAACACCTGTCCACAAGGACTGAGCCAAGAGGCAGTGTGGGTGTGGAATGGGAGGTGTTGCCCTGGCAGTAAATCCAAGTTGCTCACACCAAAGGAAGTGTTTCTAGGGAAGCTATCCGAGCAAGAGGTAAATACTTAGCCATCCAAACAGGCCATAAATGACTGCTTCATCTCCTACAAGGGAAGGTCTGATTCCAAAGAGCTCACAAAATATTGGGATAGCATTTCTCTTTTCAATCAACCCCTTTATTCACAATATACATTCCTTTGTTAAATGTTAAGAGTCTCTCTAATCAAACCCTTGTTGACAAGGTGTTAAATAGCTACAATTTGGCTGTTTGGTGTTATTTCAACTCTAGTTTTTGCATTATGATTCTAAATAACAACAATGATGGCAACAACAGCAACAAAAAACCATGACCTTCTGTGGTCTAAAATACTGGCCTTCATATATCTCCTGACTTCTCACTTCTCTCACTATTTACGAGTCTACTTCAACATTTTCTCAAATCTCTCCTTGTCTCAGGGCTCACTGCTGTTGTCACAGTTTAGGGCTTCATCATCTCTTGCCTACACACTATAAAAGCCTAGCCTCCTCAATGGTCTCCCCTACTTATCAACCTCATCACAGCTTCCAATTACCCTTCCAAATCATGGGCCTGATCAGACCACTCACAAACCATCATGGCTCTCCATTGCCTACGGAAATGAAAATCAAACTACAGAACTTAGCCTGGCAGTAAAGCCATGCATCTAGCCCCCATCTACTGTACCCTTGTGTATCCTAAACTCCTTCCATTCCAGATAACTTCCCTTGGCATGGAAACATCATCACTTTGTATTTTTGAGCACACCTTCCCTCTTCACAAAAACCACCCTTTTTTATTCAGCTCAAATGCCATTTCCTCCAGGAAATTAATCACTCTTTCCTTGAAGTTCATATAGCACTACATACATACACACACACATATATATAATATAAATATAATATAAAAATATAAATATATATTATATAATATAAAGATATAATTTACATACCATATAATTCACCCCTTTAAAGTGCACATTTTTTAAGAATAGTCACAGGGTTGTGCAACCATCACCACAATTTTAGAATATTTTAATCATCCTAAAAAGAAACCCTATTCTCATTAACAGTCCCTCTCCCCCCACCTCCCCTTTCCCACCCCCAACCCCAGCCCTAGGCAACCACCAATCTATTTTCTATCTCTACAGATTTGCCTATTCAGGATATTTCATATAAATGGAATCATATAAAATGTGGTTCTTTGTGACTGGCTTCTTTCACTTAGCACAACTTTTTCAAAGTTCATCCATTTTGTAGCATGTATCAGTGCCTGATTCCATTTCATTGTTAAATTATAGTCTACTGTATGATTATACCACGTTTTATTTATCCACTTATTAGTTGATGGGTATTTGGGTTGTTTCAACTTTTTAGCAATTATGAATAATGCCTCGTGTGTAAATTTCTATTATCATTTAATATGTATGGCTTACTATTATAGGGTTTTTATTTGCTTGGCCTGTGTTTGTTTTATCACTTTATTATAACCTCTTTGTAGATAGAAACCATCATTTTCACTCTAACCTCCACATAAAAAGTATTGAATAAGTGTTTTACAGATGGATGAATGGGCAGATATTATAGGTTCTTATTATATCAATTATCATACAAGTACTCGGAATAAAAACATTAGAGTGGACCCAGTAAATTTACCCAATAAATTATAACATTCAAACACTGATGGTTCTTAAATAAACTTTAGTCTCTGTACTAGTTTCTGGAACTCCACACATGGATACTACAGTTGATTATTTCATGGAGGCAGTTTCTTTGCTAATAATAATTATGAACTAAGTGAACAGAAGCCCAGAAAACACCAGACTTTTTCTCTTAAATTGACTCCACAATGTCTTGTTGTTGCTCTTGGCTTGACTGAGGTTATTATTCTAGTCTAGAGTGGTGATTCTCAAGCCCGGCTGAGCATCAGACTCCCCTATGGAGCTTTTTCAAGGTACTAATTACCCAGGTCCCGCCTCCCAGATTATGATTCTGTATCTTGGGTAAGCAGCCAGGTACTCACATGTTCTAAAAGCTATAAAGATGCATCTGATGCATAGCCAGGTTCAAGGATTCCTATTTCAAAAGCTGCCCTGAGGTTAAAAATAATCTTATAGAGCATGTATGAACATTTTACTCCTGGAGAGTATTTTACTTATCCTGGGTTCATGCCCATTAATACTACCTAACATATATAAGGCACTCTTTATTTGGAAAGAGTTTTGCAGTCACCTTTTATTATCTAGACATGCATGCTGGGTGACCTTGTACAAATCACATAATCCCTTCATGTCTCAAATGTCCTCAAATGTAAACTGTAGGCGGTAATACTGACCCACCCTCAAGGGGTATTGTGGAGATTACTGGAGGACTGTAAGGCACTCAGAAAACACAATAAAATTATATGCATGCTTATTAGACAGGTATGAAGTATGAAGTCCTAGTCACAGCCTTTTAAAATGAAACAAATACCAAAATAAACTCTTAAACAACCCTTCCCACAACCTTCATCGTCATCTGAAAGATCCTTTTCCAGCTCCAAAGTACAGCAATTCCCCCTTTGCTCCAAGACTAATAAACAGACATAATCTACAGTCACAAAGAAAACAAAGCTAATGGATGGCAGCAAATAAATATATAAAGCAGCCTTGAAATATAGTTTAACCTCATTTATCACTCACAGTGCAATTAGACATTCTATCTATAAATATACTGCTGAAAAATTCTTGTAAAACATTTGTGCATGTTCACACAAGTCTTTAAGGTGATGCTACATACTCACTGTTGATATTAAGCCTCAAATTGTTTTCTAGTTTGCTGACAGTTTTTACATGGCTATATTAACCTCTTCTCATCTCCCCCACATGGCTGAAACAATATATGGCCAAAATGAGACCCTGAGACCTATCTCAAGTCAGGGGTACATGAGAATGGAAAGGGGTACATGAGAAGAGGAGTCTTCAATCTTGGAACCAGAGACTGGTCTTGTACGGGTGATGACCCACAACTAAGGACTCATTTGCGCTGTATTTTCAGTTTCTTGGAAATAAGAGTCAGAAAACTGACATGGTTTTTCCTTCTTTCCATTTTGCTTTAAAAGGATCACAAAATTTCAAGGGCCAGGTCCAATTACATATTCCAGTTCATTTACAGTTGAATGATTTTTGTGACTCTAAAGGAGAATTAGTGTTCTCACACCCACCATAGCTGATTTGAGTCATGAATCCTAAACAGGCATAGCCTTTCTGGGGCTACTTGACCTTGATTATGCTCTTTCCTCTTTGTGCTTCAAAGGGTTTGGGTTGTGGTCCCAAACCCTCTGCTTTGGATAAGCTCAAGATCTGCTAACAATTAAATGCTACTAAACAAATACTTATTCAGTACATACATCTGTAAATAATACTGTAGTGCTCACTGTTGAGGCTACCAAGAATTCCTTGAGATGCTTACAAGATTGTTATAACTCAATGATCTTGGGTCCTCTAGTCAGGTCAAGCTGACAGCCTCCCCATGAGGACTCCTAAGGTTTGGTCATTAACATGCCAGTTCACTGGGAACTCCTAGACTGGCCTTCAGCAGAAAGCAAATTGAAATGTCATTTAACTTCTCACACATCGTTTTTCTACTGCAATATCCCATTAGACCTCCATCAGAATTCAGAAGCTCCTCTGAAAATAGCCTCAGTGCAGGGAGCCTCATTGGTTGGGAAAATTACCAATTATGCATAATTACTGTTTTTAAAATAAGGTTAATTTCAGCATGTTTCAACCTCAACAATCTTTAAGAGTCTCAGCATTTTTGCTGAACATCTTAAAGGAAGAAAGATCCATGTTGGTTTCATTTCAATAGTAAGGAGAAATTAATGCTAATACATACCTTAGTGGATTTACTTAGGTATCCCAAACACTTTCTTCCACCAATATGGAAAATCCCCAGAAGTATGCATTTGGATTTTTCCTCTGTAAAGAGATACAAATGGTTACTATAAGTTGTATGATTTCTTCTGAGTTTCAAATTCTTGTTTTCTCCAAATCTCAAAGTAAGCATCCCTGCTTTGCAGATCTAGAAGTCAAGACATCATGAATTAGTTTCATTGCTTTCCTCCGTGAAACACAGGCCACCACATCCCAGCCCATTGCTCTCTTTGAAATCAGATGGCATTTTAAAGGAGAGAGGAAATCAGGTACAATTTTCTGGTCTAGTGCTTGTTTTACATATCTTTCACGGGGGATCTTAAGAATCTTAGGTGGAATTTCATCATCCTTACATGTTTACTTTACTTTCTTTCAAATTCAAAACAAAAACAAAACAAACAAAAAACCACTCCATCCCATGAAAAATCATTCAACCATTTACCCTTGGATCTTTATGACTTGGGACATAAAATACAATCTGGGCAAGGTCAAACAAGGCACTTGAGGGTTGAGAAACAAGAAGAATGTTGTGTATTGGATTTAGGGTTTGAAATGCCCCACTTTGGTAGTTTCCCATTTATCTTCATGCAGAAGGTCGACAGTGGCCTGTTTTTTGAGATAGATATTTATTCACTCTAGAGGAAGATTTCTCTGACTGATCTTGGATAGGCATTTAAAAAACACACACAACACTCTTCTACAAAACCAGATCAATGAGAAGTATCCTACTGAAGAGATATTAAAATTTTCACTATTTTAATTTTTATGTCATCTAAGTATCCACCCACCTCCTTAGAGCACCTCTTTATTCTTTACAGGAAAATTTAAGTAAAGTTATTTGTTTCTTCCTAAATATTTTTTTAAGTTAACAGTAATACTTCTCTCACTTGTATTTTAGTCCTGATGATTAAATAGTAAAAATGCTATTTAGTATTCTGTACTTGGGGAGAAAAGCTATTTCTTGATGGAGAAAATTCAAACTGAGATGGAGACCTCATATGTCACTTAGGTAAATAGGTTAGGTTTCATGATAAGGGGAAGGGATTAAGAACTGAATTGACCAACTCCAGAGAGAGATTCTGGTTTAGTGGAAAAACTAATCTGAGATCAGAGTGTATTAAAAATGCTCACATTGTTAAAATGTCCATACTACCCGAAGCAATCTACAGATTCAACGGAGTCTCTATCAAAACACCGTTGGCATTTTTCACAGAACTAGAATAAATAATCCTAAAATTTATGTGGAACCACAAAAGACCCTGAATAGCCACACCAATGTTTTTTTTCTTTTAAATCCTCACCTGAAGGTATTTTTTCCATTGCTTTTCAGAAAAAGTGGAAGGAAAAGAGAGAGAAAGAGAGAAAGAGAGAGAGAGAGAGAAACATCAATGTGAGAGAGACACATCGATTGGTTGCCTCCTGCACTTGCCCCAACCAGGGCCAGGATCAAGCCTGCAACTGAGGTATGTGCCCTTGGCTGGAATCATACCTGGGACCCTTCAGTCCACAGACCAACGCTCTAACCACTGAGCCAAACTGGCTAGGTCAGCCACAGCAATCTCGAGAAAGAAGAACAAAGTTGAAAATATCACACTACCTAATATCCACCTATAGTTCAAGGCTATAGTAATCAAAAGAGCACTGTACTGGCATAAAAACAGACACATAGATCAATAGAACAGAATAGAGAGCCCAGAAATAAATACAGACCTATATAGTCAATTAATCTATGACAAAGGAGGCAAGAATATACAGTGGGGTGAAGACAATCTCTTCAATAAATGGTGTTAGGAAAACTGGACAGACACATGCAAAATAATGAAACTGGAACATTTTCTTACACCATATACAAGAATAAACTCTAAATGGACTAAAAATTTAAAGGTAAGACTCAAAAACCATAAAACTCCTAGAAGAAAACATAGGAAGTAAACTCTTTGACATCACCCTTAGTAATTTTTCTTTTCTTTTTTTTCTTTTCCTTTTTTTTTTTTTTTTTTGAGATGTCTCCTTGGGCAAGGGAAACAATAGAAAAAATAAACAAACAAAGGTTTTTGCATACCAAAGAAAACCATTCAACCAAACGAAAAGACAACTGGCTGAATGGGAGAAGATATTCGCCAATGATACATCTGATAATGGGTTAATATCAAAAATACATAAGGAATTCATACAACTGAACACAAAAAAAAAACCACAAACAATCCAATTTAAAAATGGGCAGAGGAGATCCAAGATGGTGGTGGACTGAGTGGAAGCTACACTTAGACTCTCCCAGGACTAATCTGGATTTACAACTAAAACATAGAAAAACCACCCTGAAAACCAACTGAAGACGAGATGGAGAGCACCCTCATAACCAAAGAGAAAAAGTGGAGACTGCAAAGAGACTGGTAAGAAGTACGCACACGAGAGGGCTGTCTGGGCTCCCACAGGCAGCAGCTGAAGGTCCAGAGGGACATCTCAGCCGTGGGGGGTTCCCACTGAGGACTCTGGGGACTAAACCCCAGGCTGGGCTTCCTGGCCAAGAGCACCAGAACTGAGAGGTGCTCACATAATATCTGGCTGTGAAAAGCAGTCGGGTTTCTGTCTGCCAGGAAGAGGCAGCTGGAACTGCAGGAACCCTCTTAAAGAGCCATTGCACAACATTTCGTGTGCAGCTATTCACCTTGGGCTCTGGCGGAGGGGGAGTGGAGTGGACTGGAGCTGTGTGGGGAGAGTCTGGGGAGATTAATTCCCCCAAACTGTGGGGGACATCTTTCTTGGGAGGCAAACTTTCGGCTTTTGCCTGAGGGGGGAAGCAATTGCCCCACCCTGCTGGAGAGCCTCTTATCCTGCCCAAAGGAGTTTCTATAGCCTGAGGCTTTTTAAGAGACTAACAGCAACCAGCCACCCCACCACCCTGTAGAGCTTCCACAGTCTGAGGCTCATTAAGAGAATCAGATTAACAAGTCTGCAGACTGAGGCAGACTTCAGGGTGCTTTGAGTTTTTGCCTGATCTGTTTTGGGACCCAGGCCTTAGAAAAGCAGACTTTGGTGGGCATCTCTGTCCTGTCCAAACACATCCAGCTCCAGCAGTGGAGACCTCAAGCCTGGGGTTGTTGATAGCCCCAAACAGGGTACTCAGGGTCAGTCATAAACTGCATCTGACATTGGCCTGTACCAGAGACCTTCCAAAAAAATTGAGAATCCTAGCAGATCTACCTAACATTTAGCCAAAATGGGGAAACCAAAAAACAAACCCCAAATGAAAGAACAAGAGAAGTCTCAGAAAAAGAGTCAAATGAAACAGAGATAAGCAACCTCTCAGATATAGAGTTTAGAATACTGATTGTAAGGATGCTCAACAGCATGAAAAAATAATTGGAAACTATGAAAAACGACCAGTCAGAAATGAAGAATGACATAGCAGATATAAAGAATACATTAGAAGGAATAAACAGCAGATTAGAAGAAGCTGAGGATCGAATCAGTGAATTAGAAGACAGAGTAGAAAAAATTAGTCAATCAGAGACCCCAAAACAAAAAACAATTAAAAAACAGGAGGACAGTCTAAGGGAGCTGTGGGACAGCATAAAACGTAACAATATTCATATTATAGGAGTGCAAGAGGAGGTTGAAAGTAAGCCGGGGTTAGAGAACCTGTCTGATGAAAAATGGCAGAAAACTTCCCTAACCTGGTCAAGGAAAAAGGTATACAGGTTCTGGAGGCACAGAGAGTCCCAAGCAAGAAGAATCCAAAGAGGCCCATGCCCAGACACATCATAATTAAAATTGTCAAAAATCGGAGACAGAGAGAGAATCTTAACGGAAGCTAGAGAAAAGCTAACTGTTACCTATAAAGGAGCTCCCATAAGGCTGTCATCTGACTTCTCATATTGGACACTCTACAGGCCAGAAGAGAATGGCATGAAGTATTCAAGGTAATACAAGAGAAGGATCTGAAACCAAGACTACTCTATCCAGCAAGATTATCAATCAAGCTGGATGGTGAAATAAAGAGCTTCCAAGACAAAAAAAAAAAAAGNAAGGCTAAAAGACTTTATCACTACAAAACCAGCATTACAGGAAATGTTAAAGGGACTGCTATAATTAGATGTAGAAATAAAGAGAATGAGAAACAACTATAAAGAAACAAAAATGTCAGTAGATAAGTATCTTTCAATAATAACCTTAAATGTAAACAGATTAAATGCCTCAATAAAGAGATATAGGGTGGCTGAATGGATAAGAAAACATGACCCAACTATATGCTGTCTACAAGAGACCCACCTCAGAACAAAAGACTCATACAGAATGAGAGTGAAGGGATGAAAAAAATTTTCCATACAAATGGAAATGAAAAAAAAGCTGGGGTAGCAATACTCATATCAAACAAAATAGACTTCAAAATGAAAACCACATTGAGAGACAAGAAAGGTCATTACATAAAGGTCCCTACTAAAGGGATCCATCCAGCAAGAGGATATTACCCTGATAAACATATATGCACCCAATATAGAAGCACCTAAATTTATAAAAAATCTTCTAGAGGACTTTAAGGGAGAGATCGACAGCAATACATTCATACTCAGGGACTTTAACACCGCACTGACTTCACTGGATAGGTCTTCGAGACAAAAAATCAACAAGGAAACAGCAACCCTAAATGACACACTGGATCAGATGTATTTAATCGACATTTACAGAACATTCTACCCCAAAGTTGCATAATATACTTTCTTCTCAAGTGTACAGAGGACATTCTCAAAGATAGACCACATGTTAGGACACAAAACTAGTCTCTATAAGTTCAAGAAGATTGAAATCATATCAAGCATCTTCTCGGATCATGATGGCATGAAACTAGAAGTCAACTACAATAAAAACACTAGAAGACATTTAAACACATGGGGACTGAAAAGCATGTTTTTAAACAATGAATGGGTTACCAAAGAGATCAAGAAAGAAATAAAAAACTTCCTGGAAACAAATGAAAATTAACACACAACAACTCCAAATCTATGGGACACAATGAAAGCAGTCCT